TTTTTATACTTATTTTGTGAACATGGGAACAAAAAATTCAGAAGAATAAAATAATTTTAATAATTTAGTAATTTTCCCCCTAAACAAATTCATTGTTTCATTGATTCATTCCTCTGAAATCCTTCCCATTTTTTTTTTCCGTTCATAACTTTAACCTCTTTTTTTTTTTTTTTTTTACTTCAAATAGGGAATTGAGGGCTGGCCTGGTGGCACACTGCTACAGTGCACCGCTTGGGAGTGCGGCAGCGCTCCCGCCGAGGGTTCGGATCCCACATACAGACCGGTTCCCGCTCACTGGCTGAGTGAGGTGCGGGTGCGACACCAAGGGTTGCGATCCCGTTGCCGGTCCCGGTCCGGTACGGGCGCGACACTGAGGGTTGCGATCCGTTGCCAGACACGAAAAAAGACAAAAAGGAAAAAAAAAAAATAGGGAATTGAAATAAAGTACTCAACCACAAAAAGGGCATGTTTTATCTCCCCTTTCTTTTAATGAAACAAATACTTCACTTCTTCAAAAAGCTTTCTTATGTAGTTTATTCTAAATATTCATTATACTTCAGAAAGGCTTACACAAAACATTTAAAATTCTTAAGATTGGTCTAGAGCCATGCAAAGGTTATATTTTAATGCTTGAATTAAAATGAACAAAATTATATCAGCATGGGACCAGAAATTTGTTTGTTTTTACCTGTTCTTGGGTCCGATTCTTCCAGTATAACCACCTCTTTTTCCAGTCTGGACCTACCATGTTTTCAATAGCATTTTCGGCTAGAAGAATTTTTAAAACATTAATTCTTCAAGAATTTTATCACTTACCAAATACATAATATATAACTAATAACAGTCTTGCTTTCTTAACTACTTCAAAGTGCTATATCAATATAAAGTCAGTTGAAATAAAGAAAGTAAATTATATGATTGATATGGCACATACATAGAACTAATTATATATATATGTTTAGAATCTATGGAAAGTATAATTGTGTATAAAATGCCTGTAAGTACAGCAGCAAACACACTAAAATATTCTGAATTATAGCTTTTTAAAATATGAGTACATATAAGCATCATGTATCCAATTTATTTATTCTTTTTGGTAGTTACAAAGGCAGTTGACCGAAAAACCCCACAAATATTCAATTATGGTATTAATGACAAAGACTTAAAATGTTAATTATATTTTTACAAACGTTCACTGAAGATGGATGACTTCTTCACCACTCTGAAAACTCAGAACTCAATAACCTGTGTCCCTACTTACTATCCTTGAGACGAGCCTGAAGAGCTTCTTCCATAAAATAAATAGCTGCATCCCACTGTTGTTTATCAGATATGGACCGGTCTTCTAAAGCATTGTGTTGAATAACTCTCTGAAAAGGAAAGAAAACAGTAATTTGATTTATGTCTCATCATTTTTGTAATCTTATACAAATCGACAGCTTAGTAAGTACCCAAAATAACACATATATCTATAACAGCATAAAAGAATGTCCCTTCCATAAAAATGCAGGAGCTCCTTTTACTTGCCTGCTCATTTGTCAGCTTTCTCTCTAAAATATAAACAGTGGAGATACTCTCCTGGCTCAAACTAAACAAGCTAACCATCTCTAAAAAAGAGAAGGGAGAGAGAAAGGGTTATGTATATTACACAATTAACTGCATGAAATGCAATGCCCAGAATCCTAATATTCAGGGGTTAATAATTCAGGTCATCTCCACCTCTCCTTTTTGACCTATGCATTCGCATTTTTAAAGAAGAGAAAAAAATTAATAACCATTATTTCACTGTTAACAGGAATAGGGTAGATACTTAAAAAGTCTAGATAATAATGCTATTTATTGCAATTGAAAATTGGTTTCCAAATTTTATAATTTTTGAGTGAATGGATGAAAATAGTACCATACTCTCAGAAAGCCACTGAATGAAGGCATTTAACAAGAATAAGTGTAGTTTTCAAACATGAAGGCAAACACTTCTTTTAAATTTTACTTATTTATTTTTTAAGGCAAACATTTTCAAAAACAAAATTATAATTACAACCAGCCCACAATAGGATATGCATTTTCCTAGAAAATGTCATTTAACAGTGCCTCTCATAACTCTCTGAGCAGAGAAGGAACATAAAGATTTGATTATGGTGGTTGGAACATTTTATACAACAAAAGATTTATCAGGTGGTAGAGGTCAGAAGCCAGGCTCTGTAGTTAGAGCAGGGCTTGAATCCCAGCTCTGCCAATGACAATAATAGAACTGCTTAAGAATTAAATCAAATAATGCTTGAAAAATACTTAGCAGAGTTCCTGGCACATAGTAAGCATTCAATACAGTAGTCCCCCCTTATCTGTGGGTGATATGTTCCAAGATCCCCAGAGGATGCCTGAATCTGTGGATAGTACGAAACCCTACGTATGTGCTGCCACACAGTAACAGAGTTAATCTATATGAGGGGTCTTCAAAAAGTTCATGAGAAGATTTGTATTATCTCTTCATTCCATTTTTCCATGAACTTCCTGAAGTACCCTTGTACTTCCATGTTTTATGCTCTGGTGTCTCCCTCTTACTTTTATAAATGTAGGTTCTATTGGGCATCCTCTTCCAAAACAGCCCAATTTCATTGCAATTGAAGACTTGGATGGTATTTTTTCTCCCATGTTTTATGCTCTGGTGTCTCCCTCTTACTTTTATAAATGTAGGTTCTATTGGGCATCCGCTTCCAAAACAGCCCAATTTCATTGCAATTGAAGACTTGGATGGTATTTTTTCTTCTTAATCGAATTCTCTAATTCTGTTGGAAATGTAGCAGCAGCTGCTTCATCAGCAGATGCAGCCTCTTCAGTATTTTTTATATTTTTCAGTACAATCTGTGTAATCATCCTTTATTTGTTGAAGTCTTCATATATGCTCAATGCTTTCTGGCACAACATGCCATTCACAGGAGCACACTTTCTGTTCATGTCTTCTACTCACTAAGCACTTATCACACACCGTGGTCGTAAGTTTTGTAGTTTGTAACCTTCGCAGTTTGAGGTGTGACAGCAAAAGTAGCACAAATTTCCTTCTCCTCCTTCACAATTTCATGGATAGAAGACTCATTCTTCTTATAGATCTTAGCAACCTCAACACATGATTTTTTTTTTCTTTTTATTAAGTTGCTTCACTTTTTCACTTAAAGGAAGCACTTTGGCACGTCCGAATTGCCAGTATCACTACTCTTGTGACTTGGGGCCAATATTAAGTAAAATAATGGTTACTTGTACGCAAACACTGTTTAAAGGAAGCACTTTGGCACGTCCGAATTGCCAGTATCACTACTCTTGTGACTTGGGGCCATTATTAAGTAAAATAATGGTTACTTGTACGCAAACACTGTAATACAGCGACGGTCAATCTGACAACCGAGATGGCTACTAAGTAACTAGCAGGTGGACAGTGTATCCAGTGTGGATATGCTGGGCAAAGGGATGATTACCTTCCTGGGTGGGAAGAAGCAAAGTTTCATTGTGCTACTCAGGACTGCATGCAATTTAAAACTCATGAATTGTTTATTTCTGGAATTTTCTATTTAATTTTTTTGGACCACAGTTGACTATGGGTAACTGAAACTGTGGGTAAGGGGGGACTATTTTACATGTTAGTGTTATAATTTTAGAAGTGTAACATTTTATGATTCAAATCTACTGAAAACCAACACATCTAGTTCTTTTCATTACCACGGAGCATAAAATCAGAAGCAGCTGTCTATAGACAGGTCCACGCAATTGCTAATGGAGGATGATTTGTGACAGTTTATGAGATCCTATTTATGGGCCAGCCCCATGGCTCACTCGGGAGAATGCAGCGCTGGTAGCGCCAAGGCCACGGGTTCAGATCCTATATAGGGATGGCTGGTGCGCTCGCTGGTTGAGCGTGGTGCAGACCACACTGTGCCGAGGGTTGTGATCCCCTTACCGGTCAAAAAAATAAAAAGATATGAGATCCTATTTATTGCAAAGTTTGACTTTTTTCTGAGATGATAGCCAAGAAAGAAATAGCAGAAGGTGATTTTAAAAAGGCACAGAATTGTTAAAGGGCAGACTACAGATCATAAATCTATTTCCTTCCTTCATTATTTTAAATTCATAGTGTAATTTAAATAATCATATAAAAATACTCTCCTATGAAAGAGTATCAGTTTGAGAAATTACATAAAAATATGAGGCTGATACCCTAATATACAAATGACGTACCAAGCTGTCCTCTGCAAAGTCATTCCACTTGTGACGTTTAATACTTTCTTCTTTAACAGCCTCTTTAAGTTTATCAAATATGTCATCATGCTCTTTTCCTTTGGGTTCTGTCATAAAACGGGAAAATTCTTCTTGTAGGGTCTCCCAAGCAACCTTTAATTATTTAAAAGAAAAAAGCTGTATTTATACCACATGTTTTTATTTAACAGATTATATGAAAAATAACACATGAATTCAAGCTAAATAGATGTGATAAACATATGAAAACTATGTTAACAAAAAGAGAGCAAATATAAACTACGGTCTAAAGGTCTCACACTGGTAGCTGGCTTCCTAACATGTTTTGCTTGACGTCCACAGTATTGTAAATTTTAAAACATTTGTTGCCAACATTTAAAAATCGAGAGACTTCATATACAAATCTGCATCTCGAGCTTAGCTTGAACCATCTGGGAATGGTGTACCCATATTCTCACATGACATCACCTGGTGGAGCTGAACAGGGGCTGCCTCATTGAGATAAGGTAAGCATTCTAGGTCTGCCACCAGACTTATTTCACTTATGTATTTCAACCTGTAAGACACATGACTTTGCCTGCTTCTTCCACACTGGAAAGTTTAAAATTTCTTAGTTAATGATTTAGTTGCCTTCACATATTTGCCTATAAGCAAAGATATAAAGCAATGCATCAGGTACTTTCAAACATAGCTGAGTATTATTCAGCTTTGTATTTTAGCTAATTCCTAATTATCAAAACAGTGAAAAGAGCAGCATAGTTTCAAAAGTAATTAAGAACTAAATCTACTTAAGTAGGCTTTTTAATGTTACATTTTAGCTCTCTCTCACTTTAAACAAAAAATTCCTAATTATCAAAACAGTGAAAAGAGCAGCATAGTTTCAAAAGTAATTAAGAACTAAATTTACTTAAGTAGGCTTTTTAATGTTACATTTTAGCTCTCTCTCACTTTAAACAAAAAAATTATGGCATGGAAGCTGATTGTCCAAGAATACACAGGGAGTGGCAGTTGAGTATGAAAATCCATGTTTCCCAACTCTCACCAGGTGCATGCCCTTTCCACCATATCTAAAGGGCAGAACACAGCAGAAGACAGAATCATAGCCATTTTTATGACCACTTCCACTGCCTGAACATTAGGCTATGAAAATATAGGACAGGGCCCCGAAAATGTTAGGCCAGTAGTGAGGAGGGCTACTGAAGGAGGGCAGCAGCTCTCTAATGACTTTAGGGGTAAATGTGTTGATGACTGACCAGGGTTCAGCAACATGCAACTTGAGCAGAGAGGCTGCAAGTGTTCCTAGAAAGAGAGTCCTGAGGAAACTGAGAACAGAGTTGAAGAAGCTGGGACTGGAGCAGGATAGGAAAGGAGTGAAATTACATCTGAATAATGAGAAACTGACACTTTGTTTTCAAGGTAGGTATGAAAAACAAAATTACTTTTAACATTGACTCCAGTTTTGTAAGCAACCTCACACAAAAGCACAGGACACACTGACTCTTAGCTAGATCACTCTTCATAGAGTAACGTTTATGACATCAACTCAGATGATGATGATCATCGTAATAATAGCAGCTGCATTTCTTGAGCAGTTAGGATAGGCCAGATATTGCCTGAGTATTGTACATATATTAACTCATATAATCCTTTTGATAACCCCACGAGGTAAGCAACATTATCATCCCAAAGATGAGAAAGGTTAAGCAACTAGCCCAAGTCACACACCTACTAAGTGGTAGAGCCACGATACACGGGTAACAGGATTGGATTTTTTAAGGTCCTTTTTTAATGATTCCAAGTCTAACCTTCTGGCAGGATACTAACTAAGGAAATGATTTTTTAAGTATAATTGAGTCCTGCTGAAGATGAATAAATGAAATGTTTCATCTATTAAATATTTTCCTTATAGAATCTCTATCCACAAAAAAGTTCAAAATATTTCACATTTAAGCAAGTTTTCCTAGTTTCGTTAAATGTTATCTTCAGAAGAAAAACCAATACCCCCAGGCCAACACCATACCAATTAGTAAATTTTTATAACAGTAGTAACTGGTAGCAACATTCAGGTTAGTCCCAACACAGAGATGAGCAACAAAGAATAAGTAGAGTATAAGGACCAAAAAGAAAAATAGCAGCTGTGACGGGAATAAAACCTAATATTCACAGCCCTTGCTCTCTTCAGATAATGCTTCTTACCCCTTTAATTAAATTATATCCTAACCTCTACTGCTTTATTAGGAAGCTGTTTATCAGTCCACTGTTTAAGCTTGATATCCACTGTAGTATTAAAAGTTCCTGAATTCATGGTCTGTGCAGCTGGAAGATAGATATTTTCAATCACATGAGTTGACACTCTTTCCCACAAAGATTGCTGAAGGATTTCCTCCCTGAAATTAAAAAAAAAAAAAAAAAAAGTTCAAGAACACCAAATCTAAATATAATATTAAGTTTTTTAAAAGCTTGATTAAAGTATCATTAACTTATAATAAACTACACATATTTAATGTTTTGGTAAGTTCTGACATGTGTATAAATCTGTGAATCACAAAAATCAAGGTAACAAACATATCTATCATCCCCAAAAGTTGTAGCCATTGGATCTGCTTTCTTTCACTATGATTAGTTTGTATTTTCTAGAATTTTACACAAATGTAATTATACAGCATGTATTCTTTGTCTATCTTCTTTCAGTCAGCATAATTGAGATTCATCATGTTGCTATGAGTGTTAATATCTCACTTCTTTTTATTGTTGAGCAGCATTCCATTGCATGACTTTGTTCATCCATTAACCTGCTAATGCACATTTGGGCTGCTTTCAGTTGTTGGCTACTACAAATAAAGCTGTACATGAAGTGCATTCATGTACAAAAGTGTTTGTGTGAACATATGCTTTCGTTCCTCTTGGGTAAATATCTAAGAGTGGAATGGCTGCATCATATGGTAATTGTATTTTTAACTTTTTAATTGTATTTTCAACTGTTTTTCAAAATGGATGCACCATTTTACATTCCCACTAGCGGAGAATGAGAGTTCTACATCCTTGCCAACACCTGGTATGGTCAGTTATTTTAATTTCCCCTGTTCTAGTAGCTATATAGTAGTATCTCATTGTGGCTTTAGTTTGCATTTCTCTAATGACTACTAATTCTCAGAATTTTTTCATGTGCTTACTTGCTGAGTATTAACACATATTTCATATGTGTTTACTGTGGAGTCCAAGACTGAATATTTCTTGGAAAAATTTTCACGATTTATTAGACCATAGCACAAAGCACAAAGATGTTATGGGAAACTACTAGACAAATTTTACACACTTTATGAATAACGTAACAATATAAAAGATGCATCATCAGGCTGAAAATTCTGCCTTAAAAGACATCTTACAAAAACACAGATCTCTAAATAAAAGACAACTATTTTTTTCTTTTCTTTCTTTTTTTTTCAGTGGCTGGACAGTACAGGGATCTGAACCCTTGGCCTTGGTGTTATAACACCATGCTCTAATCAATGGAGCTAACCAGCCAGCCCACAACTATTTCAATTAAGAAAAAAAGTTGAAATCTCAGGAAAATATTTATTTGGCTTCCCTCAAACTAATTTCTACTGCAGTGTAATACTACAACATAAAAAAAAAAATCCAAACACTTTTCTTATCATTTGGTCAACCCTCTAGGATGCAGCTACAAATCTCAGCAAAAACATCCCTGCTATCCAAAAGCCAAGTTGCATCAACTTGGATAAGGATAGTTAACACCCTCCCCTCCAAGACTACTTACTAAACATTTTGTATAAAATTAAGTCTACTGAATCAGTGAGCTTCTGGCTTCCCCTTGCTAATTTTCAGGTCTTTTCTTCAGTTAAAATCAGAAACAAATAAAGAGTATGAGGAGATGACTCACCATTGAGGTCCAGAAGAACAAAGACAATTTAGTCAGTGAGTTTATGACAGAGTAAGAGGATTTGAGCAGATGGAAGAAAAGAAGCTTGTCAGGGCCTCCTATTCAGATACCATTTAAAAACCAAACTCAAGAAGATTTCTGAAAGCTGAGTAGATGACCCAGATCCAGCCTCTGACCACCAGGGCTTTTTTCTGCTCTTGCCTCAGAACAAACACGGTCTGTTATTTCTTCCTAGGAGTCTGAGGGCCAGGAATGTATATCCCAGACACCTGTTCAAGGAAACCATAACAAGAATCCAGACTACCAAATCCTGACAAGCCTAAGGTAACTTTCTCAAAGGAGGCTGCTGCTTTCCAATCGCCCATAGGTGGCTGCTGTCACCTATCCTTGCCCAGCCCTTCCTGCCCCTTCATCACCAAGCCGCTGTCCTCTGTCCCAGACTCCCACTGCTCTCCTCCATCACAATTTTTATTGAGCCCCCAATACCCTGATCCATGACAAACAAACCATTTTATATTCTCACTCTCCTTCCCTATTCCTGTATCTCTAAACCTTTCCTGGCTTTCCCTTAAAGACAGTGATTGCCCTTAAATTCTGCTGAGTGGAAGCTGTTCAGTAGTTGAATGGGCTCCAGAGTTAGAAAGTGGAAGCTATGTCCTCCTTGCCCCACAATCTCTTTTTTGGACCATCGGTCCTCAACTTGCATGTAGAAACCCCTGTACTACGAGGCTACCCCATCTGGTTAAACCATCTGCTACCCTTACTTGTTGCTGTTATCTACCAATTTCCCTAGCATTGTTCTATACAATCATAAACCTCATCTATATCCTAAGTTTTGTCATCATCCAGGGATAATTTCCACAAAAATACAAAATACAGCTAACATCCTTCCCTTGCCTTTACCTAACACTTATTAACCCTTTAAATCTGAGATTATGATATTGCAAATCTTCTTTGATTCCTCAGATCTGAGTTAGGGGATTCAACTGTGCTTTCCCACTTTCCTTTCATTCTTTTAAGCTAAATCAAAATAAACTTAATACTTTTCACTCAAAATTGCATGTATACTATGTACCATTTTTTTTAATGTGTATTTCTATGAAGCCAGCCAGCTACCCTAGAAAAGATATTTCTATGTTGATGGCCACATAATGTTAATGATATACCGATATCTCGTGCTTAATGTCAGTAATTGATTCATGAAAATTAGGTTTATTGCATAAAAATGCTGAGAACCTGTTTTCCACTATAACATATTATAAATCAAATCTAACCCCGTAAAAACTTTCTTAAAACATAACTAGAATTAATAGAAAGCTATCATGTCAAGACATACAATGCTTGTAATACTGCTTCCAGATCACCAAATACAGATAAAACAGTCCTGTGACTTAAATAATTATAAACATTTTAGGCATGTGTCCTGAAGGCATTATGCAGCAAAAAGATACCAATAAAAACTCCTAAAACAACATCAACTACATTACAAAAATAATGTGACTTAAATAATTATAAACATTTTAGGCATGTGTCCTGAAGGCATTATGCAGCAAAAAGACACCAATAAAAACTCCTAAAACAACATCAACTACATTACAAAAATAATGTTTTGGGACCAATGCAGTTGTATTCAAAGTGGCATGAATAGTTGAGGTTAGAATGTGCTATTCTGATTTATGTTTGTTAAGTTCTAGAGTCCGGGAAAAAAAGTTAATGAAAAGATGACAGAGAATCATCTGATCTGGCAGCTCATAGAAATAAACCTCTAGCATCCAGATGTCCTAGTTTTCGTCCTTGCCTTTTCAACAGGCAATCAGACAGTACCTGTCCCTTCACAATTCCCTTCAGCCACTTGTGTATTAAATAAATTAGATTTATCTTCAAGGCTTGCTTTAGTGTAGGAATACTAGTGTAGGGTTGCTCTGTCCAAACAAAACTAACTTTTCCACTTGAGGATGCCAAAATTAATTTTCAGAGGGATCACATTTTCCTCCCATAAATAGCATTATTAGTTGCTATAGTTTACAAATCACTTTTTATATATATATTACTCATATAACCTATTAAGGCAATTAATGTTATATTCATTCTGGACACACACACACACACATATACAAACACACATATCTATACATCTTTATATTTCTTGCAACTTCAAAAGGTAACTGACTTAAACAAAACCATAGAACTGGCTTAATATATAAATAACCAACATAGCAAGTTGTGTTATATATTGTCATATATATGTTTGATTAATCAATCAACACATATAGATAAGATCAGATCTTGTTTTTTGCACAAGGAAAGAAGATTAAAAATAGGCAAATTTTGACTACTTGAAGACAGAAGAGGGTTCACCACTGAGGAAGAAAGGGCACTGAGATGGGGAAACTCGTGATAACAATTCAAACTTAAGGACTAGACACTACTGTCTAGGCTCAATTTTGATAGCCTTCCACTAAGCAAATAGAAGAGGTACAGAAAATATTTATTATGAATCACAGTAAAGATAGTTCGGCTCCAAGAATGAAAAACTCTTAAAAATACCAAAACTTCATTACAAAGATAATTTATATGCAAAGAACTTGTTAATTAAAATATGAATGCAAAATCTCAAGGTTCTTTATACATAGCTTGCTTGAGGTACAGAATCTATTTGGTTACAGTGTCCCATTCCAACAAATTTAAGAATGCCTAAATTTACAAAAAATATAAATTAAAGGTGACAGTTTGCCTTAAAAGAGATTTGCATGAGAATTTTTAAAAATGATGCATTTACTTGCTATTTTAAAAAAAATCTCAAATGGGATTCAATTCAAAATGTGATCTGCACACAACATATTAGGCACATGTTACAGAAAGCAAAAACTGTTCTTACTCAGAAGTGAAAACTAGAAAATATACGCTATTCTCCCTTTTCAAACCAATTTTCTCTGTAGTTTTGTTCTCTATGATTAATCCAACAAGAGAAACTAGTCCCAATAGATTGTTTGACATTTATCTAAAGCACAATTTAATGAAACTTTTGTCTAAATGATTGTATAGAAATCACGATTATGTATTCATTAAATGTAAGATAAAGAAAAGCCAAAGAAGAATCAAGATTTAAAAAGAATAGGGAGAAAGCAATCATCCAGAAATTCAATTGGTTAGACTATGACAGTGGTTAGATTTAGCAAAAAAACATACTTTTATGTATTTGCCTACTTAACTAAATGTTTTGAGGGAAGAGCTTAGCCAACAATAAATCATCACGTCATCAATCTAAGTTTCAACATTTCATTAGTCTTTGCGAAAAGGGATTAATGTCAAAGTCAAATACTCACCAATGTTTTGGTGTAACCTGGCTCAGACTGATAACTTCATCGAGGATTTCATTTTTAGCTTTTTCAAATAGTTCATTCTAGGCAATATAGAAACAAGTAATTAAGATTTTCATAAGATAGTAAATTTGTCCTTGTCATTATTTTCAGAGATAACCAAAAGGAGGTCGGCCTTTGACAGGATAGCAGATTGAATTTAGTTTTGAATATGTATGACTAGCAAAAATGCTCTTTTATTCTAGTCTCTTTTTTAGGAATGCCATTATCCAGATAAGGACAAACTGACATAAATATGTATCTTATTTACTCAAATCTGAATGCAGTTTTTCACATAACATTTGGTCATACAAGATTTTCACATAAATGTTATGTGAAAGCATCAATACATATTTAGTGTAATAATTTAAATGTAAATTCATGCTGTTTGACAAGTAATGGCATGTTAAAATCAAGAAAAAACAATATTTAGCTCCACTAAATTAGAGTATACTTCTCCAAGGTAAATGCTGAAAAGGTAAAAAGTTGATGTACAATTTAAAAAATTTTAGGTTACATAAATACATTAATTCTATAAGATTTTTTTTTTTTTTTTAAAGATGACCGGTAAGGGGATCTCAACCCTTGGCTTGGTGTTGTCAGCACCACACTCAGCCAGTGAGCAAACCAGCCATCCCTATATAGGATCCGAACCCGTGGCCTTGGTGTTATCAGCACCGCACTCTCCCGAGTGAGCCACGGGCTGGCCTAATTCTATAAGATATTTAAAGAATATTCTTCACCTTCTCAGAAAAGATTTTAAACACTTGTTTTAACATCTCACAATTCCTAACCATTTTTTAATGTTAAATATAAAAAATAATTTCAATTATCATAGAAGAGATAGCTGCTGGGCCGGCCCGGTGGCGCACTGCTACAGTGCGCCGCTTGGGAGCGCGGTGGCGCTCCCGCCGAGGGTTCGGATCCCACGTGCAGACCGGTTCCCGCTCACTGGCTGAGCAAGGTGTGGGAGCAACACCGAGGGTTGAGATCCCATTGCTGGTCCTGGTCCGGTACGGGCGCGACACTGAGGGTTGCGATCCGTTGCCAGACACGAAAAAAAGACAAAAAGGAAAAAAAAAAGAAGAGATAGCTGCTCCTAAAAATATATTCTTTCAGCTCTAAATTAGTAGTTATGGTCAAAACCAAAGCAATTTAGCTTATCAGATTTCTCTTATAAACATAAATTTTGTTAGAACACAAAATTAAGTTAAGACATATAAAAAAATACACGAGGTACCCAAATATTACCCGGTCAAGTTCTCGCAGGCGAGGATAGTTATTCTTCCACTCAGTTTCAAGGTTAAAACGTGTTGCTGAGGAAGAAGGGAAATGTTTAAATTTGATGATTCTCTTTTTTTCCAGATGTAGTGGTTAAAGGCTATCCTGCACATCATCTGTATTAACTGAATTTCTGAGGGTGCACCTATGGCTCCTTAGTACTCTGGGCTCTCAAAAATCTCAGAATTTCATTATTGCAATAGCTTTCTAAACTATTCTGTTTATAGTTTCTGTTTTCAGTCCACAAACACACAGCTGAAGCAGTTTAGAACAAGAATGGACTCTGGAGTAGTACCACCAAGATTCAAATACTGAATCTATTAAATATTGCTGTATGACACTAGGTAAGTTACTCTGTGCCTTTGTTTTCTCTTCTGTAAGATAGGAATAAAAATAATACTCACAAAATTGCTGAGGAACTAAGTGGGATAAATATGTAGGATCTCCATGAGGGAAAAAGGAAAGGAGAATATATTCTTCAGATAAAACTATGGAAGACATGGAGCAGCAAAATGTGGGATTTGGGAAATAGTACAATGTAAATGAAGCACAGAGTGCTCTGCTTCCCAACATTTTCTCTTTCCTCCCTAAAAAGGAGGAATCTGCATTCTCTATAGTTTACTAAGTTTTCTCCCAAGCACAACTGCAAATTTTCTAATCTGCTTAAACTCTGCAAATGTGCTCCTAGCAATGTTTCCTCTGAAAGGAAAACCATATTCTTATCCAACAACCAAAGATTTGCATTTTTCCATTTTCCACACATTGTCTAATAGTAAATGAACTATTAAGTAACTGTGAAAGAAAGGGAGTACAGAGTCACATGGATGCTAAAGACTGACAGCTAATAAAATGTCTAAATTTGTTTGCTTATTTTAAAAATCCATTTACCTTTGAAACTATCAGCCTGTTGTTCAACTGATTCTCGTACCATTTTCCAAAAGCAGTCTGATACAGCAAGGCTTAAATTTCTTGTAGTCACTTGGTGTGCCTTTAGCATGCTTGTCCTACCAAAAAAAAGAAAAAAGAAAAAAGAGCTAACATATATTAAAATGGCAAAAAAGACAATAACACCATCACCAAGTTTGAGAACGCACTTGTTATAATATAATGAAAATAGCCACTTATTCCTTTTTATCCCACAGCTAGCCAATAAAACTTCCTATGATGTAGAAAATGTTCTATGTATGAGCTGTCCAATACAGTAGCTATTAGCCACATAGGGTTATTGAGCCCTTGAAATGTGTAATTAGTTTGACTGAAGAAATAAATATTTAATTTTATTAAATGTTAACTAATTTAAACATTAATAACTGCACAGGACTAGTTGGCTATCATATTGAATAGCACGGTTCTATATGCTGTGTTTGAAAGAATTATCTTGATTTACTATACTAATCTAGATGAAAACATAATTTTCTATTTCCAGAAATTCTCTACATATAAGTTTTAGTATAATTCAATTGCTCTTTAGCTCTTGCTTTTTGGTCAATATCTTATTTTCTGGCAACTTCTGTCAATATTTATTTAGGGATATCCCTTTGACACCCCCACTCCAACTTTCCCTGATACTGTTGTACACATAATTAAAAACGAAAGTGTTGATTTTTTAAAAATCACTTTATAAGTAAAACGACATAAGAGGTGTCTGTGTTGTCTTTCACTGCCCACATCCCAAGGGGCAGTTTATTATGCCAGCATATATTGTACAATGTGATAAACTGTTCTAATTCTATCAAAGAGTAGCTTAAGAACTTGCTTATTATTTACAGATCACTATTTAGGGAAGATTCTAGATATTCATTGTTTAATGAACAGCTAAAAAAACAAACTTTTAAGTGAAAACAGTTCGATTTAAGCTACTCTCTCACTGTCAAATCTTTAAATATTTTAACAAGACACTTACTTTAGGAGCTTTGAATTCTGAAAAAATTCCTCTTCATATTCTCTTATAGCTTCAATATTTTCAGAGCTGTTTCCTAGGGAGAAATGGCAACCAAATTTTCACCAAGTAAATTAATCTTTATTATTTGAAAACAACAAAAACTAAAAATAAATTATAATAATCCATCTTGCATACCTTTTCCCGTTACGACAGCAAAATAACCAAGAGCTTTCATTGGGAAGAGCTTTCCTTCAATTATTTGCTGAATCTATTTTAAAAGTGGGAAAAATAAATGTGAGATGTAGGCTTATGTAATTTTTAAAAGCATTATATACAATTTAGAAAGAAAAAATAATTTAATGATGTTGTACATGTACATGTTTATTAGTTAAATATATAAATCCATACAAAAACATTTAAAATGTATTTCAGAGGGAGGAAGACGAGGAATTGGTAAAGGAACACAAAAATCAACTACATTGTATATTGATAAATATTTTAAAAATGTATTTCAATTGCTATTTGAGAAAAAAAAGTTTTAATTTTTTGAAAATGTATTATTAAAACATCTGTACCCAAATCAAAACTTGGAATGATGTGTACTTCTTTGGAGTCAGAAATACCTTAGTTTGAATGCCAACTCTGCCACTTATAATCTATGTGGTCTTAAGTGTCTTAACTTTTCAAAAAGGTAGTTGAGAAGATTATGAGAGAATATGATAGCTAGCACAGTGCTAGGCATGTAGAAGCACTCAATAAATGGCAGCTATTATTCTTATTTCCCCATATACTCTTCAAATATGTAAATTCTAATCAAATTGGATTGTCTTTCATTTCTTCCTTCCTCCTCCCCCTCCTCCTCCTTTTTAAATATCTAGGTCCATTGATTCTCAACTCTTTTAGGGTCAAAAAACCTTTTTATTTTTTATTTTATTTATTATTTTCCTTTTTGTCTTTTTTCGTGACCGGTAATGGGATCGCAACCCTCAGTGTCGTGCCCGTACCGCGACTGGCAACGGGATCGCAACACTCGGTGTCGCGCCCGCACCGCGCTCAACCAGTGAGCGGACCGGTCTCTATATGGGATCCAAACCCTCCGTGGGAGCGCCGCCGCGCTCCCAAGCGCCGCACTCTACCGAGTGCGCCACCAGGCCGGCCCTAAAAAACCTTTTTTATTTTTTTATACTCTAAGATGTTGTTGTGGAGCAGTTGGGGGAGGGGGAGGGGGAAAGGGGATGGTATAGGGTGGGAGGAGGAGCAAAGAGAGTGGGGGCATGGTCAAGGCCCATGGTACCCCCCTCATTCTGGCAAGGGAACCCAGGGAGTTTCCGGCAGCAGCTTGGTCATGGCTGGGCCAGATGCAGACATCAGACAGAGCATGACTGAGGTCCTCCACTGCCCCAGCTCAGGAGCCTGGGGAGCTTCTAGCAGCAGCTTGGTGGTCATCACTGGGCTGGATGTGGATGTCAGGGGTATGTGGCTGAGGCCCTTGACCCCTGACCCCTGACCCCCTGGCTTGGGAGCCCAGGGGTGGGGGGGCTTTCAGTTCTTCTAGGTTTAAGGGAGCGTCGCTGCGCTCCCAAGCGGCGCACTGTAGCAGTGCGCCACCGGGCCGGCCCTAAAAAACCTTTTTAAATGTGATAAAAACTACAGACTATGTACCCAGAAGAATGCATATTTGCACAGAGATCTACCATTCATACACAATGTAAAAGAGTTTCTATCCCTTGAAGCTAATTCAGGTTAACATTGGGGTAAGAATCCTTCCTCTAAGACAAGTTACAACCTAAGTTAATACTGAATCATTGATATAAAAAGGACTAAAATATGCTTCAACTGCATTGCAAAAGAAATACAAACTCACTCTCTAGAGAAGCATATAAAGAAATAAAAGAAATAAGAGAGATGGGAAGGAGGCCACAGAAATTTGTTTCTACCTCACTTATCCTCTTTTCCATATCAGGACCATTACTGCCATGGCAGTCCTTACCCTTAAAAGTAAGGCAAAGCAGAGGTCATGAAGGCTGTGGAGAAGAGTTAACACAGCAGGCCTGAGACTGCTATCCTTAAAAAGGACTGCTTGTCTTTGGCTGGCATCTGAAGACTTAACTGGTAAACAATTCTCTATACTGATACAAAACTTTCCCTAAATAACAGTGGCTCATTGTGCATGTAATGTGTTTTATGCTAAACATACGCTTTCCTTTCTAGAGTCTGGAATTTTGGTATATGAGGGTGCCTACATGACCACCTCCAATTAAGACCTCAGGTACTGAGTCTCTAATGAGCAACTTACTGCTTGGAGGGATTACGTGTGCCCTGTGTGATGTTACTGGGACAGGACTCTTGGAAATTTGAGCCTGATTTCCTCCAGACTTCAACCCATGTGCCTTTTCCCTTTGCAATTTTTTTTATTCTTTCATCGTAAGAAGTTAAGTATAAGTATGACTATGTGCTGAGTCCTGTAAGTCCTTCTAGAGAATCACTAAACCTAGAGCTGGTCTGTTGTAGGGACACCTGACACAGAGAGGCATAGTACCAGAAAGTTTAAGATGGGAAGGAGACGAATTCTAAGCAGTAGCACTTAGGATAGGTACTTAAAGTAGTAAAGTTGCTGTTTTATGGGGAATAATAATATAATAATAGATGACAGCCACCATGTATATAACACTTTTGTGCCAAGCAATATTCCATCCACATTACAACTTATATTTAACTCATTAAATCTTCACAGCCTATAAGATAGAACCATTAATAGCTACATTTCTACCAGATGAGGAAGCCTAAAGCACTGACAAGTTAAACAATTTACCCAAGGTTACACAGCTAGCAAATGGTAGAGCCACGATTTGAAATTAAGCAATCTGACTACAGATCTTGTACTCTTAGCCACCACCTTATACCTTTAAAATTAAGTAGACAGCATGCCTAAAGTCAAGACTTACAACCCAATATGACTTACATGCAATATTATCTTGAAATAAAACTCTTTCCTTGTTAAGGGAGAAGAGGAAAGGTGTTACAGACTTCAGTAAAATAATTCTAAAAATACATTTCCCTAAGATAAGAGACAACTGAACATTATGTATAGAATTCACAGAATTTCAGAAATGAAAATGACCTTAGCTCTAGTCTAGTCAACTAGTGGGTTGGATTCTTCATTGATTGGATTTAGAAAAGTAACAAGGTTTGCAGAAGGACATAGAGCCAGTTGGTGATGAAACATGGAAAAGTATGCTGTGGCCTTACTCCCAATCCAATGCCTTTCTACTATAAAAATCTGCTATATAGGCTTTGATGAGTTAGGGAAAGTAATGTTTATCTACAATAAAATGGCATATAAGATCTTCAAGGAATTCATACTATCACTAATTTATGGACATCATCAAGAAGGGATGGGAGAAGAGGGAAGGCAAGGGAGAAGTAGGGAGGGAAGGGAAAGGAAGGGAGGGGATGGGAGGAAAGGAAAGAAAAAGAAAATTAAAGAAAAGAAAAACAACAAATAAAGTTAATGACTACATGTCAACACACATTATTTAAATTAAATTGGGGTGAGCAGCATTAGCAGTTTCTGTATTTCTAAAGCAAATTAATTATAATTATAGAATTTTATTCATATCCCAAAACTGTACTTAAGTAATTTACTATAACTTCCTAATACTTTTTTAAAATGGGAACCAAAAAAAAGTTGGTTTTTCAAAAAGAAAAATAAAATGGACAAACCATTAGCTAGGTTAACAAAAAAAAGAAGGGAGAAGACCCAAATAACAAAAATCAGAAATGAAAAGAGAGACATTACAACTGATACCACAGAAATATGAAGAATCATTAGAGACTACTATAAACAACTGTATGACAACAAATATGGAAATCTGGAAGATATGGATAAGTTTCTAGACACGTATAAACTACCAAGACTGAACCAAGAAGAGATAGAAAACCTGAACAGGACAATAACCTTCAACAATATTAAAGTGGTAATCAGCAATCTTTTAACAAAGAAAAGTCCAGGTCTGGATGGCTTTATGGCTGAATTCTATCAAACTTTTAAAGAGGAGTTAATAACAATTCTCCTCAAACTATTCCAGAAAACTGAAACAGAANAAGAAGAGATAGAAAACCTGAACAGGACAATAACCTTCAACAATATTAAAGTGGTAATCAGAAATCTTTTAACAAAGAAAAGTCCAGGTCTGGATGGCTTTATGGCTGAATTCTATAAAACTTTTAAAGAGGAGTTAATAACAATTCTCCTCAAACTATTCCAGAAAACTGAAACAGAAGCTACTCTCACAAACTCATTCTATGAGGCCAACATAAGTCTAATACCAAAACCAGATAAAGACACAACAAAAAAAGAAAAGTACAGGCCAATTTCCTTGATGAACTTAGATACAAAAATCTTCAACAAAATATTAGCAGTCAGAATACAGCAACACATTAAAAAAATCATACACCATGATCAAGTGGGATTCATACCACGAAAGCAAAGATGGTTCAACATATGAAAGTCAATAAATGTGATACATCACATCAACAAACTCAAGGACAAAGACCGTATGATTATCTCAATAGATGCTGAAAAGCATTTGACAAAATTCAACATCCCTTCATGATAAAGATGCTCAACAAATTAGGTACAGAAGGAAAGTATCTCAGCACAATAAAAGCCATTTATGACAAGCCCACCACCAGTATCATTCTGAATGGGAAAAAACTAAAGGCCTTTCCCTTAAGAACAGGAGCAACACAAGGATGCCAACTCTCACCACTTCTATTTAACACAGTACTGGAGGTACTATTAGCAATCAGGCAAGAGAATGAAATGAAGAGAATCCAGATTGGAAAAGATGAAGTCAAACTTTCTCTATTTGCAGATGACATGATACTATATATAGGAAAACCTAAAGACTCTATCAGAAAACTCCTAGAGCTGGTTAATAACTTCAGTAATGTTGCAGGATACAAAATAAATGCCCCCAAATCAGCTGTATTTATATACTCAAATAATGAGCTAACAGAAAGAGAAACAGAGAAAGCCCATTCACAATTCTCACACAAAAAAATAAAATACCTGAGGATCAATTTAACCAAGGATGTGAAAGATCTCTACAATGAGAACTAAAAACCACTTCTGAAAGAAATTACAGAAGACACAAAAGGATGGAAAGATATTCCATGCACTTGGATTGGGATACTTAACATTGTGAAAATGTCTATACTACCTAATGCAATTTTGAGATTCAATGCAATCCCCATCAAAATACCAATGACATTTTTCACAAAAATGGAAAAAACAATCTTACCTTTCACATGGAACAACAAAAGACCCTGAATAGTCAAAGCAATCCTGAACAAAAAAAATAAAGCCGGAGGCATAACACTACCTGATTTCAAATTATACTACAAAGCTATTGTAACCAGGGCCAGCCCTGGAGGCCGGCCGCATGGCTCACTCAGGAGAGTGCCATGGGTTCGGATCCTATATGGGGGTGGCCGGTGCGCTCACTGGCTGAGCGTGGTGCAGACAACACCAAGCCAAGGGTTACGATCCCCTTACTGGTAAAAAAAAAAAAAAAAGGCTATTGTAACCAAAACAGCATGGTACTGGTATAAAAATAGACATTCAGACCAGTGGAGCAGAATTGAGAACCCAGAAATCACCCCTCAGGCATCTGATACTGGACAAAGGCAACAACACTCTACATTGGGGAAAAGACTGCCTCTTCAACAAGTGGTGCTGGGAAAACTGGTTATTCATATGAGGAAGGATGAAACTAGGTATGCACCTCTCACTGTACACTAAAATCAACTCAAAATGGACTAAAGACTTAAGTATAAGGCCTGAAACTGTAAAATTACTAAGGGAAAATATAGGTGAAATACTTCAGCAACTAGGTCTGGGCACAGACTTTATGTACATGAGCCCAAAAGCACAAGCAACAAAAGAAAAAATAAACAAATGGGACTATATCAAACTAAAAAGTTTCTGCACAGCAAAGGAAACGATCAAGAGAGTGAAACAACAACCTAGAGTGGGAGAAAATTTTTGCTAACTATGCAACTGACAAGAGATTAATATCCATAATATACAAGGAACTCAAGCAATTATACAGTAAAAAAATAAATAACCCAATTAAAAAATGGGCAAAGGAGCTGAATAAATATTTTTCAAAGGAAGATATACAAATGGCCAACAGATACATGAAAAAATGCTCAACATCACTAGTCATCAAGGAAATGCAAATTAAAACTACACTTAGATACCTCACTCCAGTTAGACTGGCTATAATAAAAAAGATGGCGCATAACAAATGCTGGTGAGGGTGTGGAAAAAAGGGAACGCTCCTACATTGTTGGTGGGACTGTAAATTAGTACAACCACTATGGAAAACGGTATGGAGGTCTCTCAAACAACTACAGATAGATCTTCCATATGATCCAGCAATTCCACTTCTGGGTATATACCCAGAAGAATAGAAATCATGTCGAAGGGATACGTGCACTCCCATGTTCATTGCAGTTCTGTTTACAATAGCCAAGACAATAGCCAAGACACCAACCTAAATGTCCATCAATGGATGACTGGATAAGGAAAATGTGGTATATATACACCATAGAATACTACTCTGCCATAAAAAAGAATGAAGTTTTCCCATTTGCAACAACATGGATGAGCCTGAAGAAAATTATGTTGTATGAAATAAGCAAAGCACAGAGGGATAAATACCACATATACTCACTCATATGTGGGAGCTAAGAGAGAAAGAAGGAAGGAAAGAAAGACCACAGTGGGTGTGTTGGACTTGCAGAGGGAGAGAACATTCTTTGGGTTACAAAGTGGAGTGGGTGTGAAAGGGGGAGGGGGAGGGAGGTTGGCGCTAACTGGGTGGGGGACACAGGGTACAAATGCTATTGGAGGTAATGGGTATGCTACCAGCATGAATCTGGCCTTCACATCATGGGCCCGAGGGGTGACGATCAGCTTTGTATCTCATGAATATTCATAACAAATAAAAAAAAAAAATTCCTACTACTACTCTCTGGTAAAGTATTCCATAATTTTTTTTTTTTTTAATAACCAATCTATCACAGGTGGAGCTTGTACAAAAAAATCTGTTCTTACAATAAAGAACTTGCCCTCACCCTGCTTGGACTAGCTACATTTTTCTCTGCCAGGTCTACTTTGGTCAAAACAAATATAGTCCTTCTTCCATGAGGATCCATTTGACTGACCAAGTCTGTAACAATACTGCGTTCAGCATCCACAGATCCATCTGAAAAAAATTTTAAAATGACACTGTAGTAATTGCAGAGTGGATTTTAGAAACTCAGCACAAGCTACCCTCTTATTTCTACATTATAGCAAGAAAGATTTTCCTAATACATTTATCTTATTTATGAAAACAAATATTAGCCAATAAAAATTTACATGATGTCTATAGTGAAATTTATCAAAATATTCCCAACTTCAATTCAATTTAATAATAAAATGAACAAGTAAGAAGAAAGGGCAAAAACCCATTTATCTTACCCATGTATGTTTATATGAGGATACTTTAAAATGTGTATGGAAAATAGAATTAAAAGATAACACAAATCTTTCCATGAACTTTTTGCAGTACTCTCGTATAACATGCATTATTTAGGGCAAACTTTGGACTGCTAAAGAAGGAAGCATATCAATATAATTAAAATCTTTTGATATGATTTACCTTGAATACATAGTATGATAGCATTAGGATTCTGCATATAAGCTTTGCTGATACTGAATATAGTCTCTTTTGTGTCAGGAGCCATGCCTGATGTCACAGTCTTTAAAAAAAAAAGATTTTAAATGTCATTATAAATGTTTACCACAATAGTAATAAAAAAAATACATGTTTTGTTTGTATACACTTACATTAATCACCCCTGGTAAGTCAACGAGCACCATCCTCTGTAGTCCAGGGCCTTTTACATTTAAGGATATAGTCTACTCAGGAAGAAAAAAATATTTGGGGGGAGTTTGTTAAGAATTTTTTTGGTGATACATACTCTGAAAATTCTCTATTCCATTCATTCAGATCTGATACTCAGAAAAAAGTTGTTCTTGGTTTGATCCAAAAAGTAATTATTCTAGAAAATTACTCATAAAATGATATGTTATGTGGAAAATTTTTTAAAAAATCTATGTACTTTGGAACAGCAACATAAACATCAATATCAACATCACTGTTTATTTGAAATCATAAACATTGGATTTCTATATAACATTGTTAAAATGAATTGCAACCCCTTACCTCAGGGCTAACAGTACAGCCTTCTTTTACACTTTTCCTCATTCGGAGTTCTATTTCATGTCTTAATGCTGCAAGCTATTAATGGAAAACAACAACAACAAAAACCCTAAAATAATCTTAGTTCACAAATATCCCATTTAATTGTCTTTTACAAACTTGTATGGATTATGAAGTTACACCTATGAACCTTAGATGAATTCTACTTACATCTTCCTCTTTGGTAAGATCAAACTCCCGAGAACTATCTTTAAACAAAGCCACATGGTGAGGACCTTCACTCAAAGTCACCTGAAATAGAAAAGTGAGATGTAATGATACACTTCAGGAGCATTCCCTGGAGCTGTCAACATGGCAGTTCTGAGACAACAATAATTCTGTGTACGTGTTGTTCATATGTATGTCACATGTGTTGTAATTTCCCAACAAGATAGCTCTTTACTTTTTATCTTCTATGACCTACAATGTTACTGCCTTTTTCTTTCCCCAGTGTTATACAGAGTACTAAGTACAAGATCATCACTCTAAAACTTGAAAAACTAAAAAAGAAAATCTTGTACTTAACTTGAAAGATGAATTTAGGTAAAGGAAAATTCATCTATTCAACATCTATTTATTGAGAATGAACTATGCATGAGGTGTTGTAGGCGGGGAAACAGAGTTGACTGTCCCTGTTTTAGGCCTTACATACTAGAGGAAATATACACAGACTTACTAGAGCAGTGTGGCAAAACCGAGGGTGCCACAGAAGAGAATCGCACTGCTTAGAAGGTAGCTAAGTCAGGCTTCACCCAAGCAATGACATTTGGGAAAGAAATTTGATAACAACATACATGAGAGTACTTCAAAAAGTTTTTGGAGAGATTTGTATTTTTTTTTAATTCTATTTTTCCACAAACTTTTTGAAGTACCCTCATATTAACAGTCAGTGGTTTCATGAAAACTTCTAAACTTCACATTTCTTAACTTTTCAACTGCAACTTTTTAAGCTTCTCTATATTTATACTATTTTATTTTTAAGATACATTTCCTTCCACTGAGATTAGCTGAACAAGCAAAAACAAAAAATGGCTGTTTGAAAGCAACCACGGTAGCCTTGACTAAGAGTCCAGGATCCCGAAGAATTTTGGGGGGATTTTTCTGTAGTTATTTTCCATCTGAGCACTTGCTTATTTGTGCCACAGGGCAGAGGCCCAAGAAAGAAGCTCAAAACATGTAGCAGTTATTGGGTTGAGCAGACAAAAATCAAAATTCAGGGTTATCCAACAGCCACAACTTAAGGTGCCAAGATCTTAGAGAGAAATGTCTGTAAAAATGTCTCCAAAAACTAAGCCCTACATTGATTGTGTGTACAATTTCCCTTCAAGACATTTAAATATTAAGAAACCAAACAGAAAAAAGATGCTAGACAGGTTAAAATGCTAAGTCAAGATTTTGGCAATTTCACTGTTCTGGGGAGACAAATACCTGGAGGTCCCAGAATCCACCAAGAAGAAGCCCTGGTTAATACTAGAGGACTAATGGTAAACTGGAAAGAAACTTATCCATTTCAAGGAAACTTGCTCATACTTTATCTGCCTGCCAGAACAAATTAATTCCTTCCTTTAATATCATCCACAGCTACAATTAGGGTGCTAGTAACAATGGAAAATGTAGGTTTCCAATGTTTTTACAATGATTATTGAGGATGATATGAGGTGTAGTCTGAAATTCATTTATTTTTTTCCTAGATTAGAAGTATCCCAAATTCCCATCAACAGTAAAACAGATATATGTGTGGTACATTCACACAATGCCAACCGAGAACAATGAAAAAAGGAACTAGTATCACACAACATGGTTCAAGTCATAGCCAGACCCAAAAAAGTGTACTCGGTATGAATCACAATAGACTGCCCAATACTCCTCTTTGTTGCAGTTATAAGCAGACGTCATTTCTTAAAGATTTTAGCAGCAGCCTCATTATTTCATTTTCTACCACTATTCATGCCATAATTCTTGGTGATTTCAATTTTCCAATGCTCCATTTACTCTATACCTACCCCACCAGTTGAACATGAAAGAAAAAAAAATAACATAACCATACAGATTTACTTTAAATTTATGTCCACACACCTAATTCAGCAATCCTAGTATGACTCAACTTCCTTTATCAATTCACTCCTGGATTCACCCCAATCTCTTAGGAAAGACTTCACTTTCTTCTCTTGCCTCAATCCCTTCTCTCTCCTAACAGCTGGTAATTTGGCTTCTTATTTCATTGAGGAAGTACAAGCAACCAGAAGGAAAATTCCACACATTCCACTTACTTGCCTCCACTGCTAAAGTCAATGATTGATTCTCAGTCTTCACCTTCCTTGATCTACGAACAGCATTTGACCTCATTGATCACTTCCTCCTCCTCGATAGTTACTTTATCTGACTTCTAGCACACTGCTGTTCTAGTTGCCCTCCTGTTGCACTGGCTGCACCTTCATATACCCTTTTGTTGTTTCCTCTTCCCTCAACCTCTTCATGTTGGGAGTCACCAGGATGCAATCCTTGGTCCTAAGTCTTCTCTGTCAAACTACTCACTCCCTTAGAGAGCTAATCAGGAAAGATCATAGCTTTAAATACTATCTTCAAATATGTGATTATGACTCTTAAATTTATGTCTCTAGCCCAGACCTCTCTCTGAACTTGTATATCTAACTCCTTATTTGTTATCACCCCACAGCAAGTCCAAAACTGAACTCCTGATCTTCCCCAAACATGATCTATTCATAGACTTCCCTATGCAAACTATATCCTTTAATTTGTTCAGGTCAAAAACCTCAAAGTCATCCTTGATGACTGACACATGACACTCTCTCCTCCCTATCAGATCTGTTAAGAAATCCTATTGATTCTACTTTTGAAATAGATTCATAACCCAATCATTTCTTATCACTATCACTGCTACTTCCCTGGTCCAGGTATTCCTTGGATACTCCAATTACCTCCCACCTGGTCTCCCTGGCTCTATCTTGCCTATAAGAAAATATCTCAAAAAGTTTGTGGAAAAATAGAATTAAAAGATAATGCAAATCTTTCCATGAACCTTTTGAAGTACCCTTGTATCTGTTTTCAGCACAGCAGCCAGAGTCTTTTAAGAGGCAATGTTGTTACTCTGCTCAAAGTTCTGCATTGGCTCCCCATTTTACTCAAAACAAAGTCTGCACAGAGTCCTACAAGGCCCTAATGATGTGCTTCTTCCTGCCCTCCATTATATTATCCCTCTGACTCTGTGACTTACTACTCTTCACTCTGGTCTAGCCACACTGGTTCCTTTGCTGTTCCTAGAACATGACAACCACCCAACCCCCTCAGGGACTTGACACTAGAACACTCTTGTACTAGATATCCACAAGACCACTTCCCTCACTTTTCTGCAAATTTTGGTTCAAAATACCACCTTATCAATGCAATCTACCAGCACCTTGGCACCCCATCCCCCTTGCCTGGCTCCACTTTTTCTTTTTTGCACAGCACTTATCACCTTCTAACATATATACTTTAATTATTTATTATGTTTATTATTTATTGTCTTTCTTCCTCTACTAGAACATATCCTCCATTATGGAAAAAATCACTTTTTTGTTTACTGACACATTGCCTAGAACAGTGCTGGCATTATTAAGTGGTCGGTAAGTACATGTTTAATAAAAAACTCTGTAGCCATATACTTTCTTCCAGTGACCATGGAAGAATTGTTAGTGCTTCTAAATATGGACAACCTGTACGCTGAATCCCAGCCTCCTTCACCTCAATGACTCTGCTCTTGCACCTTGTTCCATCTCTTGCATATTTTTCCTGTAGTAGATCATTACAATCAGCAAATATATGTCTTTAAGCACTCTTGTACTAGATATCCACAAGACCACTTCCCTCACTTTTCTGCAAATTTTGGTTCAAATACCACCTTATCAATGCAATCTACCAGCACCTTGGCACCCCCATCCCCCTTGCCTGGCTCCACTTTTTCTTTTTTGCACAGCACTTATCACCTTCTAACATACTGCACTCTTGTACTAGATATCCACAAGACCACTTCCCTCACTTTTCTGCAAATTTTGGTTCAAAATACCACCTTATCAATGCAATCTACCAGCACCTTGGCACCCCATCCCCCTTGCCTGGCTCCACTTTTTCTTTTTTGCACAGCACTTATCACCTTCTAACATACTGTATACTTTAATTATTTATTATGTTTATTATTTATTGTCTTTCTTCCTCTACTAGAACATATCCTCCATTATGGAAAAAATCACTTTTTTGTTTACTGACACATTGCCTAGAACAGTGCTGGCATTATTAAGTGGTCGGTAAGTACATGTTTAATAAAAAACTCTGTAGCCATATACTTTCTTCCAGTGACCATGGAAGAATTGTTAGTGCTTCTAAATATGGACAACCTGTACGCTGAATCCCAGCCTCCTTCACCTCAATGACTCTGCTCTTGCAATTGTTCCATCTCTTGCATTTTTTTCCTGTAGTAGATCATTACAATCAGCAAATATATGTCTTTAAGAATTTTCCCTTGACCCAACATATTTCAACTACTACTGCCCCATTTCTGTTCTTTTTTACAATAAAACTACAAAATCATTTATATTCACTGACTTCACTTCCAATATTCTCATTCTCTTTCACAGCCTCTTATTTATTTTACTCAGAATAAAATCTAAGACCTTGTAAGAGCTCAGTATAGCCTGGCCTCCCACTGCACCTCTGACATCCTTTTCCACTGCTCTCCCTCACTCAGTCAGCTCCTACCACACTGGCCTCCTGGCTGTGCCTCCTACAGATTTCTATACTAGGGATGATTCCCAATACCATAGATTAATTCTTTCATTAACTAAAAGTCTTCATCTCAACGCTATGAACAGGCCTCATTGAAGTGGTTACTTTCCTAAGGATCTTCATTCAAATAGCCTTCATTCACTAGCCTACCTTTCTTACCTTAACAGGAGAACGTGTCATCATCTCCCCAGATCCTCTTGGGAATATTCGGGCTTGAGCAATCATTTCCAACACACTAGTCTTCCCAGCACTCTGATCTCCAACCACTACAACCTTACCATAAAAACAAATAATACTTATTTATATTTTTCTGATACCAAATTAAGTTTAAATAGATTTGGAATGCTGCTCTGAATTTAGTCTTTTAAAATATCTACAGTTGGGCCAGCCCATTGCTCACTCAGGCGAGTGTGGTGCTGATAACACCAAGGCCACAGGTTCGGATCCCCATATAGGGATGGCTGGTTAGCTCACTTGGGAGAGCATGGAGCTGACAACATAAAGTCAAGGGTTAAGATCCCCTTACCGGTCATCTTTTAAATAAACAAACAAACAAACAAATAAACAAATAAAATATCTACAGTTAATAAAACATTTTTTTAAAAATCCATGAACAAAATGATGGTTGATACATGTATGCACACTGAAAATATAAACAGTAAAATATTAATTGTATTCATTATTTATAGCCAAATATTTATTTTAAAAACTTCAGCTAATTTAAACCACTGTTTCTAAAACCAGATTACTAACTTTCCACAAATCTTTTCCATAGCTTGTTTACTCTTTACAAACACATTTTCAATTCTATTAGGTTAAATTTCATTTATATGCCTAATTTAATCCTCCATTCAGGTATTTTAATATTACAAACATTATAAACATATAATGTCAAATGTCTGATTGCTTTCCTTCATAACATATAAATATAAGGTACTTATATTTACTTATACGTATAATGGACCAAAATAGAGTAAAACAATGTTCAGTGCTTAAGACATCACCTAGACCACATAACTAAGATTATATAGGCAAAAATATATATGTCTGTGTATATATGTGTATATGTGTATGTGTAAATATATACACATAATTTTTGAGAAGCTAAAGTGCTTTTTCTGCTAATGGGCAAGTTCATTGTCTATTAATTTTTTACTTACCCGCGGTAGATGATCTTGTGTATTATAACTGGCATCATAATCAGAGAGAACATCAAGAACTTCAGAATACATGTCAATCAAAGATTTCTGTGAAATTTTAAAAAATAATATAAAACAGTGAAAACTTTAAAGGAAAAGAAAGGAATACCACAAAAGTGTCAATAGAAGAAAAAGCTAATAAATTCAAATTGTTTTTCCATAATCATGGCATTGTTTTTCCCCAATTACATAAACGCATCTTCACAGTAAAACCTAAAATACAGAATAAATTTCCACTTCTTATTCAGTTTATTTTATTTAGAGGTATACTGATTTAATAGTTCATTAATTCAGGATTTTCTAACATTCTAAATGGTAACAGAGAGAAACTGTTTAATATTGATGCATTAATATTAAATGCCCAACAGAGGAAGACTATTAACACCAAAAAGGTCAAATAAGGAGTCAGGTGACCAACTAACAAGGACATTACTCTCTGCCAAGTTTGCAACATGTGTGTATGTGTGTGTGTGACAGAGAGAGAAGAGAAAGGACAGAGAGCACACTCAAGCGAGCACCCAAAGAAAGGATAACACTAGAGAAATGATCACCAAGAAGATTGTTAAACTGGTAAGAGTGGTTAAATACACTCTGACAACTGGACAGGCTAAAATACGAGAGCACCTGGGCAAATATCCTTTGTTCTTTCTCCCTGTAAAACCAAGATTGAACATGGTGCCTGTTCATAACAAGCTTCAAGTAAATATTTGATGAATGAATGAACAAATAAACAAATAAAGAGGCCTGGAAAAAGAGGGTACCATTGAGAATTTAATAATTAAGAATAAGTTTTAGTGCCAAGTTAAGAACAATACAAGGAGATTTCTTTTATCACTTAACACCTAGAAATAATTAAATGGCAAGCAATTGCCATCCCATTCACCTAAAAATAAACAAAAGATTTTTTATTACCATTGCATTTTATGAGAGAAAATACCATTTCAACATACGTATACACTTGGACATGGCTTTTCTCAACTGCCAAGTGCCACTTGTAAATAAAGTCATGCTGTTTATCTGTTTTGTACAGGCATGATTTAGAGTCAAGGCTACTAATGGATGTTGGTTAAACAAGAATTATATATCTTTGGATACTGGCTACAGAATGTATGTGCCATGATTTAAATATAGTTTTGCTACACATAAATTCTGTTTACTTGTATGAAATCTAAGTTAAAAGAATTACTTCAATTTAATTTGGCACACATTACTTGGTTTGGTGAGAAATAATACGGTTTCACTTATTACTAACGGTGGTTATCAATGTGCTGATGATAACAATGCCAGTATAAGGTTTTTCAAAAATTCTTGAAAATGCCTAAGAAACCTCACCCTATGAGAAAAATATTAACTTTTTTATAATTGAAAAAAGGGGCCTAATCATTCACCGAAAATACAAGTAAGGCAATGATGATAAGTCATATTTTAAACATCCACCAACTAACAATTCTGATTTTATAGATGCAGAAATTAAGCATAGAGACAAACTAGGTATTTCAGAAAAATAAACTGACTCACAAGAAATAACTCTTAAAATATAAAGATTTTATGGGTACAGTATAAAACAAATCTTTGAAGATTACAATTTGCTAAATGTGTTAATACAGGAAAAGACCATCCATCCCCCAAGGGCATTTATGTTAGAAAGAAACATGATAGAACATGACAGTTCCTTAAAAACTGGTATCAATGAACACACAATGTTAAATGGCAAAATTCTGAGAACAAATTAAGGCAAATTTAAAATACCTTAAGCTTTCTATGATGGATGCCTTTGTCATCTTTCTGCAACACTAACTTTCTCAATTCTTTATTCTCCTTTTCTAATCGTTCCAAGATTCTCTGATACTTTAACTGCAACAAAATAATACACATAATTACATACAAAAAAGATAAGTTAACAGATAATATTAATTGTCTAAATTAAAATCTTCCAGGGGGCTGGCTGGTTAGCTCAGTTGGTTAGAGTGTGGTGTTGATAACACCAAAGTTCAGGGTTTGATCCCTGTACCAGCCAGCTGCCAAAAATAAGTAAAAAAAAAAAAAATTAATTAATAATTAAAATCCTCCAAAATCCTAAAGTCTTATCTCCTACTGAAAATGAATTATTTCATTAAAAAGCTTCTATGAAACTGATGAAAGAATAAACTATGAATATTACCTCATAAAAACAGTAAAGTTCACCATTTTCTATAATAATTTACTATTTTAATTAGAAAATGCTTTGCTACTTACATTGAAAAAATTAAATTATTTAAAAATACTAAAAATGTAAGAATTTAAAGAAGCAAGTTCTTAAATACACTTTAAGAAGCAATATTTCCTATTACAGGGTAAGCATCCCTAATTTGAAAATCTGAAATCCAAAATGCTTCAAAATCCAAAACTTTTTGATCACCAACATGACCCTCAAAGGAAATGCTCATTGGAGCATTTCAGATTTTGGATTTTTGGATTAGGGATGCTCAACCAGTACATATTCTGCAACGACTCCAAAATCCGAAAAAAACAATATTTTGGATAAGGGATACTCAACCTGTATATCAAAATTTTAAGTCTTCATTACAGGGTCACTTGACAAAAATTCAAATTCTTCCTATTCCTCACATTGTTTTATGCTTTAATAGAGATAATATAAAATAGTAATAGCTAGTAGTACCTGAGCAAGCATTATGTGAAAGGCCTTTTATTATGTGTTTCACATGCATTGACTCCCTTAGCCTTCATAGGAACCACATAAGGCTGAAGATAAACTAAGATTAGGAACTTGAGGTTGGGAAGATTTGGTAGCCTGCCTAAGGTCACCCAGCTTGTAAGTGGTGGAGGAACAGGGTTTTTAATATAGGTCTGTCTGACTCAGAGGCTCAAATTCTTCCAAGTTTTGTTAAGCTTCCATGTCCTGAGATAAACAGATTTTAAGGAAGACTAATATGTTTAAACAGGTTATTTTGTTTAGCTGCTTGGTTACACATTTTCTTCTCAATAAGTTTGATCCTTTCTAATTGTCTTTCCTAGCCGTTATTTCTTCTCTAAACATTAACAATCACTCCTTCCTATAATTTTTAAGGAAGACTAATATGTTTAAACAGGTTATTTTGTTTAGCTGCTTGGTTACACATTTTTCTTCTCAATAAGTTTGATCCTTTCTAATTGTCTTTCCTAGCCGTTATTTCTTCTCTAAACATTAACAATCACTCCTTCCTATAATTGGCAGAATGTTTATGTCCAACTTAAAAAAATATCATACCTTTTACAACGGAAAACATTTCTTAGAAAAATTTTTAGTTTGTTGTTATCTTTCAATAACAAAGTAAATAACAGGAAATCATGATTCTGTCCTCAGAGTGTGCAACTTAAACCAAATTAAAGAAAAACATATGTAGTTGAACTATATAGTATGAAACAAGTAGAACTACAGGCTATATTCTGCTATAAATATATTCTTACTTAACTTTTTCATTTATATCTCATAATACTGTGTATATGTGTGTGTGTATGTCTGTGTATATATAAAATGAAATTGTGGTAGTATCTAAGAATTAGATCTTTGCTATTTAATCTGACAGCCACTAGCCACATGCAGCTATTGAGCACTTGAAATGTAGCTAGTCTGAATCAAGATGTGGTGTAAGCATAAAATACCTCATTAATATTTTTTATATTGTACTGGCCAGTTAGCTCAGTTGGTGAGAGTGTGTTGTTATAACACCAAAGTCAAGCAAGGGTTTGGATCCTTGTACTGGCCAGCTGCCAAAACAAATGAACAAAACTAGTATTTTTTATACTGATTACTATTTGGGATAGACTAGGTTAAATAAAATACACTATTAAAATTAATTCCACCTGTTTCTTTTTACCCTTTTTAATATGAAAATTTAAAATTATACATGTGGCTGGCATATTTCTACTGGACATCACTGATGTAGATAATCCCTTGGTTTATTATATCATGAATTCTCATACACTGTTATGTCAATGCCCAGTGGCTGACAATTGCACAAGTGGGAAGACTGATAACAATGGATATATGAGTGGTAGGATTTCCACTGGCTCATTTCTTTGTCAATATGGAATCAATTTTGGGGTCCACATTTTCTGGGGATGAAAATATTCTTTGGTACAGGGGCTAGTATGTAGTCATTCTGCAGAGATGTGCTTTTGGGCTGTTCCCCAAAGCTCAAGAACAATAATTCTCAAACTTTAGGATGTATCAGAATTAGATTGAGGAGTTCTAAAAGATTGTTGGGTTCTACTTCTAGTGTTTCTGATTCAGTAGAAGCTATGGTTCGAATGTTTGTCCCCTACAAAACTCATGTTGAAACTTAATCCACCCTGTGGCAGTATTGAGAGATGGGTCTTTAAGGGGTGACTGGTAATCCATTCATGGATTAATGGGTTAATGGATTAATAGGTTAATTGGTTATCATGGGAGTAGACTGGTGGCTTTATAAGAAGAGGAACAGAGACCTGAGCTATCAGGCTCAGCCCCCTTTGTCATGTGATACCCTGTGCTACCTCAAGACCCTGCAGTCCCCACCAGCAAGAAGGCCCTCACCAGATTTGCCCACTTGACCTTTGACTTCCCAGCCACCAAAGTATAAAAAATAAATTTCCTTTCTTTATAAATTACCCAGATTCAGGTATTCTGTTATAAGCAACAGAAAACAGAAAGAAAGTAGGTATAGGATGGGGCCAAGAATTTGCATTTCTAACAAGCTCCCAAAGAATATTGATGCTGCTGTTCCAGGGACCGCACTTTGAGACCAATGATTGATTCTTAACCCCTGGCTGCAAAATGGAATCACCAAGCTGAGAAGCCTCAAAAAAATGTACATGTGGTACCAACCAGGGCACTAGCGATTCTAATGTATAGTCAGGTATGATATTCAATGAATAGATATCAAGGAAACCTGTGACTCAAAATAAACTAGTTTAATTTCATTCCGATTGCCCCTTATTTTATTTTTTCCCTAAAAAGAGAGACCCAAGATAATAAGTCCTAAAGAGTTTAAAAATAACTTCTTAATTATTGTATATCACTGTTATCTATGGAGAATAATTGATGGTAGGACAATTTTGCACTATTACTCATTACACTGCACAGACAGGTCTTTAATAGTGATTTTATTATCAACTATATAAGAAAATAGCTATTCAAAGTAGTATCTTTTCACAAATATCTAGAAAAATATTATGTGATTGGTTTCAGGCTTCAGAGAAGTGAAGTAAAAGGTTCACAAGGGCTCATTAAAACAATGTGGTAGACTCAGCTCTAATTTCTTTAAATGTTACCTAAATTAATTAGCTTATCAATGTAAAAATGCAAGCATAAGTTTATAAGGACAAACGACTTTTGCCCTTTCAGGTTCACAAGGGCTCATTAAAACAATGTGGTAGACTCAGCTCTAATTTCTTTAAATGTTACTTAAATTAATTAGCTTATCAATGTAAAAATGCAAGCATAAGTTTATAAGGACAAACGACTTTTGCCCTTTCTTCATAGTTTTTTTAAAAATTAGAAGTACAAGATTCACTCAAAATAGGCTTTTACACATGAGTGAACTCTATACTTATCTAATTCCTTCCTTATTTCGCAATTAGCCTTTACATCTATCGATAATAAAGTTCTATCCTTAAACCATTCCAAATTTTGCTTTGTTGAAAAATAAATGTACACATCACCAAATTCACATTAAAACATAAGAAAAAGTCCCTGATTTTTATTACTCATCAGAATTACCTGAGTGTGCAGAAGTTCTTCTTGAAGTTGGTCAATTTTCTCTTTGTCTGACACCTAAATATTTTTTAAAAATTAATTTAGTTGAGTAGAATTAGGTTTATATAGAATGTACAGTAACTAAAATTTTTAAAAGTTATTAAGAGTTAAAACTAGTGGCTTTATATGCATATTTAATCAAAGCAACTTTAAATCAAGTGATCATTTAAGAAAGTAAAAATACTTGTCTGTATTCATCAATAAAAATAGCTCATCAAAATTTTATATTAAGAAGTATAAACTTTAAAAAGCAATCATTTTCCTGTTGCCATTCTAGTCATTTCTTAGGAAAGGCTTGTTAGAAAAATAAGAGATCAACATATATGGTTACCATATTCTTCAGAGATTGTTTGGTAGTAAAGTATAGGGACTTAGATACTTGGAGAAATAAAGCACTGATATCCCTCCAGAAACATGTTTTGGAAAATCAGATACATGTTACCATTAGCAGGTATTGAAAAAGCTTATTTGTCATCGTGTATCTTTAAAGAAAATATTATCCATTTTTGTACCGTAAGTAGGGAAGTATATAATAAATGCAAAAAACAATATGCATGTTTGGAGCTTTAAGCAGAGCCAGATGCTTGTTTTTAAAATCAGTTGCAATACAAGTTCTGCTAACCATAATATACAGAATATAGAGAATGCATCTGTAGCAGTGAAGCCAAGTAAAGAAACTAAAAGTGATGCGAACATAAAACAAATAGAATAAAATCAACAGGTATTGTGTAAACTACTTTGAACTGTTATCAACGCTAAGAGTTCTAAGATAAAACATTAAAAAACAAAGAGAATTATTGTATAACATAGTTTTAAAGTAGTCACAATACAATTCTAAATACAAAATACAAAAAAAATACAAATACAATAATCAATAAAATTATGTCAAATCCAAATAACTGCTTTGACTTCTTGGTGAGGTGTAAAAGTTGTTACTCCCAGCCTTTAAAAATAATTGTCTAATTTCTGAAAATCAAAATTTATAAATATGAATTTATTTCATCAGGAAAAAAAATCAAGTTAAATTCATATTCTTTTTCATTTAAATCCTGTTCACCTTCAGTCACTGGCTATTTAAGCGATCAAGACATCATGGCAGCAAATATAAACGAAAAAATTTTTAATGATTTGCTTATTGAGATAGACAGTAATAAGTCGTGTCCACGCTATAAAAAGTTACTTTCAGATTTCAATTCCTATTTCTAAATATTTTTTCAAAATTTTCCCCCAATTTTTATTTAAATAATACAGATGACAATGCTTGCTAAAAAACATAAGAGCATTGTTTTTCTTAAAAGCCTAAGCCTAAAAAAATCTTCAAAAATGATTTGGTAATTAGAAAAAAAGGTAATACAAACTTTAATTGTTTCCCATTCCTGTATTGCAAACAGAGATTTGCCGATAAAAGCTTTTTAAATTTTGATTATATGTGTTTGTATAGAATGGACAAGAATTACTAACTGCCTCCTACACTGTGAGGAGACAAGCAACTTGAAGAGGAGCCCACAACCCTAAGAACAAAATCTTAAAGGCCAATGAAAAGATAAATAATTCCGTATTATGATCATATAGCATGCAATCATACTGTAATAGTGTGGTCATAAAAAATGTGTTATGCTGATTAAATTGCCAATTCATTTTCAAAGGTACTTTGATTTACTTTGTTCCATTAAATATTTATCCAACTGCAGCTAAATTAATGAAATACATAAACAATATTACTATAAACTGTTTTAGTTTTGAATGTAAATATTTACTGATTTCATGCATTATATCCTAAATTTCTATAAAATCCAATATTAGTAGACTTCTGGGACAACTAAGATGTACAATCACACGAAAAAGTTAGAATGTTTACTATAAGCCAAGGGCTATAAAAGGTTAATTTAGTTAGTAATTTGATAAAGTAAAAAGGTTTATAAAAAGTTAAAATGGTACAAAGTTATTAAAATATTACAAATACAATCTTTATGCTAATTTTAGTATTTAGTAACCATAGCTGTTAAGATTTTTATAAATTTGGATTTTTAGGAATATTTAAATTATCATTTGCCTTTCTGGCACAATTGTTAAGAATACCTCAAGCATAGTTTACCAACATACTTCCTATCTGTTTAGTTTAATGAAATGTCAAAATTAATCTTGATGTTATATTAAAAGACAGGTGGTGTTGGAGTCAAAAATCAGACCTAATATTTTCTAGAAAACAAGATGGAAACCTTTAGGTTTATAAAACAAATAATAAAGACTGATGAGGAGATACTTTTACATATTTTGTTAAGAGAACATCACAAGCTATTTTTAATCTGTCACTTATTGTACATCGTAACTAGCAATTTGGGTATATTTTATTTTGATGTGCTTTACTAGTAAAATTCATCATAAAAACAACAACAAGTTCAAGTCCTGTTGTTTAATATATTCAGTTTGTATTAGGAAATTAATTTAAAACTCACCCTGACAGAAATGGGTATCAATGGTCTTGAAACCAGAACTTTTCTACAATTCCAGGGCTGTGAAACTGATGGAGAAAGAGCGGAATCCTCTGCAGAAAGAAGCTAAAGCTGAAAGAGGAAAAACCTTTACTAACTCCTTACAAAACCAAGCCTGATTATAAAATTTTAAGTGTTTCTTCCTATTAAGCCATTGTGGCCATTCTGAAATACTGAAATACATATATAAAATAGTCGTAAAAATTTCTACGTATGTGCACAAATCCATAGGAGGCAAAACTACCAACGGAAGTTTTATTCTACTGTCTAATTAAGCACTCTTGCTTAGAAGAATCAGGAAAAGCCTGGTAGTTGTTACTAGGATACTAAAAAATGCAGACCTACTTATATTTTTAAGAAGGCAAGGGAGAAAGAATGATTAAAAAGCAACAAGAAGTACCTGTGTTTTGTGCCTCAAGTAAACCTCAAATGCCTGGAATGATAAAAACCTCATGAATTAGGATTTTGATCATTATGACAGTGAAGAGCTGAAAAATCATCTCTGTACTAACTATAGGGGGAAAAGAGGGGATGATACAGTAAGGAAATGGTCTTTCAGGATAGTAAAGGGAATGATTTCATTACAGAAGAATGTAAATTATTTTTAAAGTCCGTTTACTTTTACACAAGGTAATCACAAAGTGGGCAGGAACAGGCCTGTTTGGTACTCCAGTAAATGTACCTTAATATACAAACAGATGAAGTTACGGTCACGTCAGTCTATTTTACGAATGGGGAAAGGGAGGCATAAAAGTGTTAAATCAATAATCGAATAAATATTAGAAATAGTAACAATGTCTCTGAGCCAATTAAAGATTACTAAAGTAGGCCTAAAATGAACATTAATCTTTGGCAATGCAGAAAATGAATCGGTACTCATTACTAATATCTTATCAATTGTCAGATTCAAAAGCATATCGATTATCTTAAATTGCATCTTAGAATCTTACAATGGCAGGTCTATGAGACTCATTTCAAATTATTATAGCATTATTGGAAAAACACTTAAGAACAACTTGTAATTAGAACTATATTTATATTTCTAAGTAACATACCAGAACATACTAGCTACTCCCCCTTCTCTCTGTAACAAAACTAAGGAATGGACAGCTCAGCCTGAGCATCCAATTTGTTAGAATATTTAAATGGTACACTCACAGCATACAGAACAAAAAATGTTAAAGTACCATTTAAAATAAGTCCCTCCCTGGATTAAAACATCTACTTCAATTTAACCATGTAGGAAGACAGCTTATTATTTTCTTTTTCTACTTATGTTATTTATTCACTGAAAACTAAACCATATACAGGACTTGATTCCACAGCCATGGAATTGAGAAAAGCCAGGAAGTAACACTGAAAAAATAAATGGAATTATGATAAATGCTCTCAAATATTAACCACCACCAAATGAGATAAGGTTAGCCAGCAGAATTATTGCACTGACATTATCTATAATATTAGTTGATTTAAATACCATAACCTACAGGAAGTTAATTATATGACAATCTTTTTTCCTGAATAAAGTTTGTATACAACTTTAAAGATTTTTTGATCTAATAGATGTAATATAACTAGCTGGTTTCAAGATCTCAGAGTATAATTTTAAAATCATTACATTTATTTCACTTTGATCTAAAATTCTCTTCAGAACATGAACCTTGGGATCTACCCTGTGGGATTACCTAACGGCCAAAACCATATTTTTAAGGATCTCTTCACTGCACTAACCAAATATTTTTATAAATTTATGCTTTTTATTGGAATCTGTTCTTTAGTGATAAGGATTATATCAAATTTCTAGTGTTCAATCCCTCAGTGGTCCAAGGTGAAAATTTATTTGCACTCACCTTATTGATTAATGTGGAAAATTTATGCAACATTTATCGAAGTGTATAAGAACTGCAAGCCTTTGCCCAAAAGTTAAGTCAAAATAGTTATCTTCTTTTTTTTTTTTCTTTTCTTTCTTTTTTTTTTTTTTTTTCTTTTCTTTCTTTTTTTTTTTTCTTTTCTTTCTTTTTTTTTTTTCTTTTCTTTCTTTTTTTTTTTTCTTTTCTTTCTTTTTTTTTTTTCTTTTCTTTCTTTTTTTTTTTTCTTTTCTTTCTTTTTTTTTTTTCTTTTCTTTCTTTTTTTTTTTTCTTTTCTTTCTTTTTTTTTTTTCTTTTCTTTCTTTTTTTTTTTTCTTTTCTTTCTTTTTTTTTTTTTTTGTCTTTTTCAGTGTCCGGCAACGGATCGCAACCCTCAGTGCTGCCCCCGTACCAGACCAGGGACCGGCAACGGGATCGCAACCCTCGGCGTTGCTCCCGCGCCTCGCTCAGCCAGTGAGCGGGAACCGGTCTGTATGTGGGATCCGAACCCTCGGGCGGGAGCGCCGCCACGCTTCCCAAGCGGTGCACTATCCAGTGCGCCACCGGGCCGGCCCAAAATAGTTATCTTCTATAAAAATATAAATATTGCCAGTTGATAAGTTTTAGCTAAAACAAATAAACTTCACTCTTTAAATTATTTACATTGGTCACCTACAGC